CCCAAGTTGTACTTCTTTCCTGAAATCCTCGTAACTCTCTAGCCATCTAACATTTCCCGGCAGCAAGCATTTATGCCACCAGGTTTCAGAGACCTTGACATAGAAACAGACCCACCTGTTTAAAATACAGAGATCAGACCTTGTGCAAAGTTTCTGACTTCCTTGACCAGGAAGGGATGGAATGTATATTTCTAGGAGTGAGTGGGATTAATCCTTATCTGGGCTCAGATTCCCAGGAAATGATGGAGAGAAGCAAAGCATGACCTCAAGAATAAATCTGCTGGAAGAAGGCGACCTTATAGTTGCAAAGTAAAATAAGCAAACAAAAGTATCCTAATGTGTTATTTATGAGAGCAGAACAGGAAAAGGCCCAGTACAGCTGAGCATCCTAAGTTTATGGGACAAGGAGGGTGTTCAACTAGGACAGGGATGAGCAAATGTGAAAGTGGAAGTGTTAGTTGCTCAGTTGTGTCTGACTCTTTGCAACCCCATGGACTGTAGACCATAAGGCTCTTCTGTCCATGGGATTTTCCAGGCAGGAATACTGGAGTGGGTGGCCATTTCCTACTCCAAAGGATCTTCCAGATCCAGGGGTTGAACCCCAGTCTCCCGCATTTCAGGCAGATTCTTTACCATCTGAGCCACCAGGGAAGGTGAATGTGAGGGAGTAAAACCACAGAATTGGCTTTTTGTCTGAACCTGCATGCATGCATGTGTGCATGCTAAGTCACTTCAGTTCTGCCCGACTCTTTGTGACCCTATGGACTGCCAGGTTCTTCTGTCCATGGGATTCTCTAGGCAAAAATAACTGGAGTTGTTGCTATGCCCATCTCCAGGGGATCGTTCCAACCCAAGGACTGAACCAGCATCTCTTACATCTCCTGTACTGGCAGGCAGGTTCTTTACCACTAATGCTACCTGGGAACAACGTAACGAACACAATGAATTCTGACTTCTGCTTCCCTAAACCTCTGAAATCTCTAATATGTCAAATTTGCCACTTACTGAGTATCTCTCTGACCATGAAAGAGTGATGATGAGCCACTGACGGAGGCTTTAGAACAGAGGTTCTAGAACTGAGATCAAGGGATCTCATTGGCTTCAAGGCCTACAAAAACTTAAATGTGGACACATGTTTCTTTCTGGGGAATGAGTCTACCAGCAAAATTTCAAGGAGAACAGAAATCCCCAGAAAGGTTTCCTTATGGATAGTGATGAATTTTTTTTTGGGGGGGGGGCTTGGATAGTGATGATTAAAAGTAATTCTTGTCCTCAAGGAGTTCACAAAAAAGAAAGGGAAACAAATAGCATAACAACAGTTCACAGCTACTGAATCCTCACTGTGCACCAAGTCCTGTGCTCCTTCACAATTTTAAGCTCATTTAGTCACTAGCAAAAACTCTAAGGTAGGTGCTATCATTAACCCCAAAGTCAGGCTTTTAAGGAACCCAAGGTTCAATGGCTCAGTGGATACATTAAGAGAAAATAATCCTTTATGCTCATCACTAAGAGAAGGACAGAGGTATCCCAGAGAGGCTGATTACTCTGGGGTAAGGAAGGCTTCCTGGTGGAGGGTGGCTGTCACTTAGAATACTTGGCAATCCTCAGCTCTGTGAGAACTGTTGGCTGGTGCATTGCTTGTTTCAGCAACAAGTGGAAATGTTCTCATTAATCGACTCCATGTCTGCTATTAAAGGTTTTACATAAATCTTTCCTTTGATCTGCCAAACAAAGCTACAAGAAAGACATTACTTTCTTTGTACAGATGATGACATTGAAGCTTAGAGATGCAAAAAGCTATTCAAGGACCCTTAAAATAAGTGGCCAGATGAGAGCCATACCCAGATCTGACTCTGAAGATCAGGTGGTTGTATATTTCTGGTCTGGTTGGTGGTTTTCCTCAATGACAGCCCCAAGCTGAGTCCTTTATTAGGATTCTGTACAGATCTGTCCCAAGGAAGAAGAAACCAGGTGGTCCCCAGACTAACAGACCACTGGGCAGTCTCCCTTCTTGTGGGAAACTTGTAGGAGCCCCCAGACTCCCTTGGAAGATGCCTGGTTGTCTTTGGTTTGTGTTTCTGGGTCAGGAGCAGGTGGTGAAGGTGTTAACAGCGACAGTATGGTAGGGATTCTCAGAGCATAGATATATTCTGGGGAAAGGCACTTGGCAGAGAGGAAGGGCTTTGGGGGGGAAGCCTGGAGCAGGGGAAGATGTCAGAGCAAGTGGGACACAGGGTACATAAGACATCTCTGGGAGGTTTAGGCAAGTGGGAACAACTTCCCAATACACAGACTATTTTATCCTGAAAATCACCTTTCAAGTTAGCATCAGTAACTCCTTTTGGAAGATGAGAGCACTGTGCCTCAGAGGCAAGGAGACCTATCAGAAGCCTTACGGGCAGTAAGGATAGACAGGAGTTGAGATTCCAGGTGCATCCATCTGCCTCTAACTTGAGACTATGCTTTTCACTTTCTCCCGCTCTCAGAGTTTTAGAAATACTGAGATAGTTCATGGAAAAGCCATGATCACCATCCGATGCTTCTGAGAGTCTGTGGTAACAATGGGTTGGAAGCCACTGTGGGCATTCAGGCAGCCCCGACATTTTCTAAGCACAACCTTAGCATACGTCCTCAATGACTATTGTGAATCAGAGAAACAGGAAACTCCCATTTAAAAAATAGCAAGAATTCTCATAAATCCCTTCTACAGGGAAGAAGCATTCATATATTTATTAACTATCCCTCGCGCAGCCGTGTTGTGTCGGGCTGCTACGAACCAGGCCCTGGGCTTGCTTCTGGTAACACAAGGGCCTCGGGAAGCTCCCAGAAGCTCCTGAGGAAGAAGGATTCCACCACCGTGTGGTCTACTCCTGGAGGAACGACAGGTGTGGAGGCACAAATGCAGGGGCGACGTGCTGACACTGTTGGGAGAATTAAGAAAGACTCCCCGAAACACAAGGCTGGATGTTGCGGGAGGGCTGCAGCGAGGTTGGGGGAGGGTATGACTGCTACGGGAAACCGTGGAGTCCAGTGGAGCTGGACCAGGACGAGGCAGGTCAAAGATCCAGCAGAGGCTGGGACCCGAGTGCCGTGTATGTCAGGTTGAAAAGTCTGGATTTTCTTTTTTCTTTTTTTTGGAGCTACTAAGCATGGAGGTGGTGTGGCCAGACTGGTTAATAAATTCACAAAAACCAAGGCAGCAAATGGAGCATGTTTCCTCACATATCTAAGCCTGTTAGGGGCAAGTAAGGCAATTTAGGCACAAATTGAATTGGAGGGAGCTGTGTGATGGGGGCTGGACCAAATTGAAACACGAAGAGCAGACCAGTGTCTTGGTGACAAGCAGGCTTGATTAAATGCAAAGGCCTCTGGGAGAAAAACTGCTTTTTTCTGAGTGGCACTGTACTGTCTGCCTTCTACTTTGTTTCTACACTCGGTGTTTTAAAGGGGCTGGTGTTCAGATATGTCTTCTTACTAAAACTAACATGCATTGAGTTTTGGAAGCCATATTTAGGTGGGATAGGATGGCTTCAAGATACCGCAGAGTGGGTAGAGAAATGGAAATGAATCAGAAAGAAAGTTCACTAGGAGAAAGGGGAGTGGAGCCAGGGGAGGGAAAGAAGGGACCAGAAAGACTCCTGATTGGAGGAATCCAGAAACTCAGGTTTGGAAAGGGTATCAAAGGCTTGCCCCTCTGGCCATTCCATGTCTGAATCCCCGCCCCTCCCCCCACCTTCATCCCATCACCTTTCTGACAGGTGGTCTTCAAGGCTCTCCTTGTACAGCTCCAGCGATGGGGAGCTTACCCTCTGAGGTGCCAGAGTTCCACGCTTGAGCAGTTCTGACCATCAGCAGATCACCCTTAGTTGGAGTTAGAACTGGCTTTCTTGTAGTGCCATCCCCTTGTCTCAGTTCCAAGAGTTGGCAGATACAGAATAGTATAATCCCTCTTCCATTTAATGGCCCTAGGGATGCCCACCTCCATAGTCATGGTTTCATTTCTCCAGGCCAAAGGTTTTCAGGTGCTTCTGCTACTTATTCACCAAATTGGGTTTGAAACCTCATGATGAATCTTATCTTGAAACATACAGGCCTGTCTCTATGTCTCTCATGGTGTGGGGTCCAGGACTGATAACAGTGTTCCAAATAAGGTCATTTAACCTCACAATAGCTCTGTTAGGACCAGAGCTAGGTTCTTGAGGGTTAGTATGACTTCAAAACCGATGCTCCTTCCACCCATGGTTGAATGAGGTCAACAGAGACTAAACACCCCAGTTCTTTCTACACAAGCTGAGGCAAGTCACAGGTCCCCCCACGCAAAGCCTGCACTGGCTCCCCAGGGCTGCCTGGGTTAGGTAGAGGGTGCCTTCGGAGTGCAACTGAAGGTCTCAAACATGGTTCTGAGCCTAGCAGTGACACACAACTGAGCATTTTCCTCTGTATCTCAGATTTCCAGGAGTCCCCCTAGCAGATGGGGTCCAGGTGCAGCGGGCCCCCTGGGTTCTCTGCAAGCCTACAACACATGGCCTTTTCTATAGTGTGCTGATCACTGACCGGACCCTTAACACACTCCAAAGGCTCTGGCCAGCCTTTGTTCTGTCTCTCTGAAGCTTCCTGACCACTTTCAAATTGAGTGAACAACTCTCTTCCCAGAACCAAGAACTGCCTCTGCTTGACCAGGCGTCATGGAGTCTTTGGCTGGAGACTTTTTCCATAAAATACCTGAGACTCTGAATCCCTTGGACATAGGAGTTTTCATGATTCAGCAGATTACCACTCAGGGAGCCAGACCTTCAAGCAGACTCAGCCCCATCATTTCCACTTCTAACCCCCTTCCCCTGACCCACTGAGTCCCCAGCACGCTTTCCCCAGCAAAGCCATACAGGTGGTGATCTGTATCCATAAGAAAGAATTGTGGACTCCCTTCCTTGGATTGCAGACCAAGCCTCGGTATAAAGCCAGGTTGTGGGGATCCAGCAGAAGAGAGGAGATATACTTACACTTACAGGTTGACTTTTTGGCACATCATAAACACCTTCCTTCTTTTGGCTGGTGGGAACCTACGAAAAAATCAAATTCAACACAGTCAAAACACCCTGGTACTCTGCTTTTGAAGAACAAAGAAGCCAGGCTCTCCTTCCCCTGGCTAAGTGTGTGTGAACTCAGCCCTGAGGCCCGAGGGGCCAACTTTCAGCAGCAGAAGGAGCTGCTGGTATCATGAAAGTGTCAGGCCAGGCTCCTTCTCTCAGGCAAGCTGGAGGAGGAGAGGGGGTGTGAATCACTCCACAAAGGTTTGCAGAATGTGTCTGCCACTGGACTCCTCACAGTACCACAGCAGAGAGGGCAAAAGGCAGAGACCTCAGAGACCATGTGGTGAAAAAATAATCATCTCACCAAAGACAAAAATGATGCCAGGGAGGTGCTAGGAGTTGCCTAAAGTTGTTAAAAACAGTTTGCAGCTGAGCTTGAAATACTCCATGCTGATCTGAGGTCCAGGTTATTTAAAATACAACAAATATCAAGGTTCTAAGACAAAATACAGCTTCTGTTGGGATCACTCACATACTATCTGATAATTACCAAAGGTTTTTCTTTAAGAAAAGGGTCCATCCATGGCAGGAAAAGCATGCGACTAGAAGCCAAAACCTCTCTGATGGTTTTCTAACACTTCTCTGTAACTTCTTTGCTCCCTCTCCTCTTCCTCATCCATCTGGCCTTACTGGGCCACATGACAACTGTCAAGCTCTAAGCAAGTCACTTAGCTCCTCTGAGCCTCACTGAAATGGGAACTTCAGCTCTTGCTTAAAGAGAAAGGAGAGTAAATAATAAAAGTTTACTCGGCTCCATCATACTGTGAAGTGTTAGAATGATAACGTCTTTTGCCATTGATACATTATGTAAATATGTATGCAAATACATATGAATAACAATGGACTTGTGGAATACTTTTCAAATGAGTCTATCAGGGGCCTTGCTCTGAAACATTCCAGTTTCTGTCACTAGTTCATCCTCAGCAAGTAGCAAAGCTTAATTCAAACCCTCCATGGGAGGGATCAGCCAGTAGTGGTTTTCTGTCTGATAACTGGTCTATCTTTGATCAGACAGGGAGCCCTTTAAAAGCAGGCACGGCCCACAAGAGCCAGGAGTCATTCATAGGGGTCTGCTACGTAAGTAATCATCGACGAGCATGGAGAATAGTTCAGAAAAAGTATCTTTTAAGCTTGGACCAGCTTAGAGAAGAATTTCAGCTTATTCCTTGAGTCCCTTTGCCATTTCACTCTTGCTTACCTTAAAATCTTTACACCAACCCTGAGAAGTTGGTATTAAAATCTCCACTTTAAGTAGTAGACAGTGAGGCTCAGAGATGTTAGGGAAATTTGCCCAAAGTTTCATAGCTAGTTAAGTGATCAGAGTCAAAGGTAGCTCATTCTGGCTATGGAACAAGACATTTATCACTAACGGTATAAGCTAACACTGCCAGAGCATTTTCTATGTGCCAGGCATTATTCTAAACATTTATGTTCACATACATCCTCATTTAATCTCTGTGAGTGGGAAGCCAGGAGCGTCAGCCTGCACGGTCTGCCTTGAACTACTGCATCATACAGACAGCTGCAGCTCCCCCCCCGTTTCCACCATTCCCACAGTAGATTTGGGTGCTTCTTGTCCTCTGACATCCGTTCTATACTCCTGGAAGCTCGTGCACATCCTTGCAAAACAACAGGACTCTGAGTGAGCATGGCTGTGCAGAAGATGCACTTTCAGAGTTACTCCTGCAAACTTTAGTTTGCAGGCAGCCCATGAAGAATGTAATTTCTTTGCTCCTTATAAGCAAGCTTCCTCCAAAAGGAACCCTCTAAGAATGCCTACAGAGTCCTTGTTAACAAGGGCCAATAAATTACAAGCCCTCACTTTTATTTTTACTAGCAGCTCACCCTTGCCTGAGCAAAATGAACAGTGTTTTTCTGTTCCCTGCAATTCACTGCTCACTATGGGCACTGAGCAAGTTGAACCGCAGCTGACTCTCAATTATGCCTGCAAATGGAGGAGAAGCAGTTGGATAGAGAAACCCAAACTGTGCATAATTGAAAAAGCTTTTCTGCATGGCTGTCCCATGGGTGAGATATCAACCTGCCTGTTTGTGTTTTAAGAATTATTTCAGCTAAGGCATCATGTTGGGAGCGCCACCAGAGTACTGGTGGAGCATTCCTCTGTACTCATAACATCTGGTGCATCCTTTCATTAAGAAATAAAAGTTACCAAGAACCTATTAAGTGTTGTGACTGTGCTTTCCCTAGGACAATGTGCTGAACAAGACGAACGTGGCCCCTGACTTATCAGTGCTCTTGGTCTCGCTGGGGGAGATGGAAAAGTCATCAGGCTACTGAAGGAGGGTGTAAAAGGAGCTTTATCTTACAAAGTGGTTGTCAAACCACACTGCAGCTTCCTGGTTGCTCTGAATTCTGACTGATCTGTAAGCCTGCTGAGGGCTCAGTAGATGTTTTATTCCCTTTGTTTCCCCATCTGTAAATACTGGTTAAATAAGAAACTTCTAAGCATCACACATTTACCACATATGTGCTAAAGACAGAAAAACCAGCAGAAACACTAAAAGGGTGAAGGCCAGACAGTGCCTTGGTCTTGGGTCTCATCTTCCCCTAACTGGTATGTCCCATCTGTGGACCATTTCAGTAATATGATGCTGTAAAAAGTGATAACAGTCCTGGACCAAAATGAGGTGGAAGGTTTGGTTCCTAATCCTGGCTCTGCCACAGGCTGCATGACCCTGGAGAAGTCACTGCTCTCTGAACCTGTTTCCTCATCTGGTTGTCATGAGTATCGAAGGAGTTACATACAAACGCCTTGAAGGTGGGGACCAGGCTGTATGTCACTATTACATCCCGATGCACCCAGCACAGGCTGGTGCTCCATACGTAACTATTTATTGAATGAATAAATGAAATTACTCTAAAAACTGTACATTAAGGACCACCCATACAGAAGACACTTTCAGTGCAGTGATATATTAATAGTGTAGAGGGGCAGGTTGATGGCTGGGTGACATAGGATTAGAGACATGTCATTTTAAAATAACAATGTGTAACAAATCTTGGGTAATTAAAAATGATTTTCGAATGAACAAACTTGGAGAATGTGCCCTTGGCAAGCTGCAATCCCGCTGAAGATAGAAGCTTGCTAAAGTCTGAAGGAACACTAGGTTTTAAAATCAGAGGCTCTGGCCTTGGGCCCATCACTTAAGTATGAAGGACTTAAATATCTTACATTTAAAATGGTAGTTATTACAACTGTACTCATCTCACCGAGTTGTTGGAAGGGTCAGAATTAAGTGGTGGGTAAAAACACATTGTACTGTGGGGTTCTGTGTTGCTTTAAAAAAGACAACTAATAATTTTTTTCCTGAGGCATGCAAATAGAAAGACAATTATTATTATTATTAATCCAGTTTTGAAAATAAGACTACTGATCCTCAAAGAGAGGTGACATTTACTCAAGAGTCTCTCCCTCCCTTGTGCTGGAGTCATAAATAGCGAAGTCAAGTGAGGCTGCAGCTTTCCACTGGGCTCTCTGACAAGATAAGGTGAGCAAGTCATGTTCTACTTCACTTAATACATCATCATAAGACATCTCAAGCAGCGTCTGATATTGATGGCATTAGCAAGTGAAAGGAACTAACATTTACACAAAACCTACTATGTACCAAAGTCCTGTCCTGGTTGCTTTACATATTCATACCACTTTTAGAAGCAGAGACTATAGTATCTATAGTCTGTAGTCCAGGAAATTGAGACACAAAAGTTAGGTACTTCACCTGAGGTTGCAAAACAGTTAAAACCTTAGGCCCTCATTCCAGAAAACAGAGGATAAATAAAATAAAATAAAATAAAATAAAATCGGAGGCTACCTTGACCAAGCCAAAGTATAAGAAACATTGAAATCTACTCAGGAAGAATAAATATGGGACACTTGTAGGCCCTAAAAAAATGCTGAGGCTCCCAATAGCAGCTCCCTAAAAGCACAGCCTATCTTCAGGCTCAAGAGCTTATTTCTTGTTAAGCGAAATGAGGCCCAGAGGATTGGCAAGACAAGCGAGAAAGATGACCAGAGGCCCTTCCAACAGAGAGCAACAAAACAGTCGTTCCCTTAAATGGTTCTTCCTATTAATTATGGACAGAGGGGAAGATCCTGGAGGTCAGAACTGTTAACACAAGGGTAACTTTTAGATACTGACTTGAAACCTATATAGACTCTACTGTTAAAACTTATCATCAAGGATATTCTGAACTGAAAAGAGACTTTGGATTTATTTATTTATGTGCAGAAGTCAGCAAGTGGGAGGTTCTACCTCTTGCTAGCTCTGTAAGCCTGGGCAACATACATTATGTCTGTGACACTGTCTTTCCTCATCTGTAAAGTGGAAATTATGACTCTAGCTACTTGGGGTAGCTCTTATGTCTATGAGACATAAGAAGATACTGTATGTAAGCCCCCACTCACAGAGACCTTGCTTGAGAAATGTTACCAAAACTATACATACACACACACACATACGCATGCACAGCACTTTAAGTCTTGTTGCTCTGTAAAGCAAGGTAGCATGTTTCTCTAACAGTCCTGTGCTGAGGCACTAGTTGCAAAGAACAGAAAAGGGCCATGCCCATGGGAAACTTTGATCTTATTTGCTCATTTCATAGATAAGTAAACTGAGGCTCAGAGAAGGAAAGGGATTGACAAGGTGGCTTAATGGCTGTGGATGCAGTGTGTGACCTGGGATGAAACCTCTTCTTTACAGTCTCCTTGTGATCTTGTTTCATTCTCAAGCCTATATGTGATTTAGGGAGAACTTATTCTCCTACTTTATCACTGGGGAAACTGAGACTCAGAGAGGGCAAGTGCCTTGCTTGCTATCCTTTAGCCAAAGGTAGCTGGTGACAGAGTCAGAAGTATATCCTAGTTCCCTGCTTCCCAAAGCCAGTTCTTCCTAGTACACTAGACTGCCCCCTAGAGACCCCGACAGGGCACAAAAGCAGCCCTGCCAACTACAGATAATGTCTGCATTCAAGAACCTCTTATATTGAAAAGTCTAATTTTATTTTAAAAGGTTCTCTCTCTTCATCAGATGACTGGTTAGTGGTTTCTCTGGAGTCACATTATAATTGAGCAGGATCCTATGGGGCCTTCCCAGAACAGGCTCCTGCCTCATATCTTCTGGAAGTACCTAGATAACAGGATCTGATGCACATTTCCTGAGCTGTTCTGCAGATGCTAAAACCCCCAACAAATTGAAGAAATTAACTACTTGATGCCCATGAGCATGGAGCGCCCAGACCTATTGATGCCTAAGGAACGATACTGTGACACCATCCTGTTACCAAATGATTAACCAGAGAGCTGTGCACAAGCTGATCACACACCCTGCAACTCCCTTCCCTCACCTGACCTTTAAAACGCTTTCCTGAAACCCACTGGGGAGTTCGGGTGTTTTGAGTACTAGCAGCCCTGGGCTCCTTGCTTGGCGCCCTGCAATAAACTCTACTCTTTCCTTCACCACAACCTGGTGTCAGTAGGACCCAAGTTTGGTTCAGTAACAATATTGAGACACTGCAACGTTGGACTTTAAAATTTGACACCGAGGACAGGTATGCAACTTTTCTGTTTAAAGACAGAAACTCTGTAAGCGATGATTTTAGACAAATTCTCAAAGAGCAAGCTCGCACTTGAACCCAGATGGAACCAGTGGATAGAAATAGATTATTACCCCCTAGGGCTGGTTAAACCGAGGTGCTGGTAGAACTAACATACTTTGGTCATTTAGAATGCTGTGCATTTGATGAAAACGGAAAATATGTTTTACTTTTATTACACAAGTAATGCATGCCCAAGGCAGAATAACAGACCACACAACTGAGTAAATTAAGAAAATTAAAATCACTTATTTAAATACATTAAAATTTTTCCTGCTTCCATAATGTTTATATTTCAAATTAGGGCTAAAATTCTAATTAATGAAAAATCGGAGGTCGTCATTTTTGTTTGATGTGTGGCGGTGCTGTAATTACACAGATTCTTTGGTGGAAAAGCACAGGGGAAGCAGTGTGGGTTTGGTCCCAGCTCTTAACAGTGGTACTGCGTTGAGAAAGCTACTCAACCTCTCAGAGCCTCAGTCTCCCCTTGAAAAAGTGGGATTAAAATACCTACTTTACAGCATATTTAGGAGAATTAATGAGTTTAAAAGTGTACAGCAGGCTTGTGATTGCCAACAGAAGGGGGTGGGGGGTAAGTATTGGGAGTTTGGGATTAACAGGTGCAAACTGTTATCTAAAGAAAAGATAAACAGCAAGGTCCCACTGTATAACGCACAAGGAACTATGTTCAACATCCTGTGATAAACCATAACAGAAAAGTATGAGAAAGAAGGCATGTACATGTACAAATGAATCATCGTACTGTATAGCAGAAATTAACACAACAGTGTAAATCAATTATACTCTGGTAAAATAAATTTTAAAAAAACATGTGCTTAGGCTTCTTCACATAAGCAGATATTTTTAAGAATATTAATTTAACTTCCCTTCAGAAGGGGCAGAACCTTTAGCTCGACTTTCTTTTATTCAGGTAATATTCCCAGTGTTGTCTCCAAAGAGCATTTTTGAATTTGGCCTTCATTTTCAGTGGTGCAATTGACTTTTTAAAGAAATTCAACAGCACGTTCTTTTGAGAAATGAAGGACCCTCATATTCTGAACAACAACCCTTCTAAGGATTAATTTAGTAAAATGGAATGTTTGATTTCTGTGTCAACTGAAAATAGTTAAGATCCATTAAAAATTAAAATATTCTACCCAGTTGGCCATTAAACATGTCAGTGATCAAGCATGAAAACTACTGGTAAACGGCAGGGAACTAGGCGCCCATTCACACAGAGGTATTGTAACAAGCCCAGAATGACCGGCAGAGCAAGGCAGAGGCTGGGACGGAGAAAAGAGCCCCTGCGGGCTCAGCCCCTTCTGTGGTTCACTGGTGGCGGTGCGCAGGAAGGAGAGGAAAGGGATTTATACCTGATAAATGTTTTCTTCCATTTCGGGATCACGGATTGGCTCGTGTCCAGCCTCAAACACAATGTACTATGACAGCAGCAGCCAGAGAGGAAAAGTTAGGGGGAAAATGAAAGAGGAAAGAAAAAAAAAAAGCATTTGGAATTCAGGATACAAATTGTAGTAAGCATTAAAGTCACAGGCACAAGAGAAAACAGCCTGAAGAGGCAACACTGACATTCCGCGTGGCCTGGCACACTCCTGCCTCTTCTAAGGAAAACTACCATGGCCTGATGGTCAGCCTTTCAGTCAGGACTGCATAGGCGCTGCAGAACTTTCTGGAGATATAACCCCTTCCTCCAGTGGCACTGATCTCAGCAGTGTCTGCCTGTGCGGGAACTACTGTGTGGGGATGATGTCTCCTGGGACCCCAACTTTGTTAACTCTGGGTTACAGGGGTCTCTCCCCTTTGCTCCCTAAGGCCCACGGTCCTAAGCCAATTCTGATGTGCTCAGAAGCCCCAAACACCTTCATCTCATACATATCACCTTACTCTGCATTCTCAGTTTTAAATACTGAAGTCAAATTTGCCATATACATGTTTCAGACTCTAAAAGACTGGGCAATTTCAAAAAGGGCTATATTCTTCACTCTCCAAGCCCATGAGCCAGGGGCTGAGCTCATACTATATACAAATCCACACCCCTGGTATTCTAAAGCAAAGCCTGACATCAAATGTACCTTTGACTTTTGTTTACGTCCATGTTAGATGCTTCTCTTTCAAATTATTCAGATTCTATTCATTTCTTATCTATATTATTTTCTTTTCATCACAGCAGTGGCAGCTTTCGTGTGAAACTATATGCATTCTGTGAAACTACAGAATGCACGTGTGACACACACATATAGAACCCATGTGTGTCCCAGTTAGAAATGTACATTTCGGATTGTCTTTTACGTCCCATAAGTCAAATGTTTGGCTGCTCTCTCTCCTTGGGAATAAGCACAGAGTGGAAGAGGCCTCCTCTCTCCTCTGCATCTGTTCAAACAGAGCATATACTTGAACCCAAGAGAAGCCATCTCTACCCACACTTAGGCTGCAACCTTGAAGAAAGTGCAGAGAAAGCTATGGGTAGGCACGTCTGTGGGATCTCCCTTCTCCCCACTCACAACAGCCCCTCTGGCATGGGCCAGGAAGTCAGGGGGCAGCCTGAACAATCAGGGGCCAGAGAGACTTCTCCTCACAGTCCTTTTCCCAGCTCACAAACCATCCTTTGGATGTGTGTTCAAATGTTGCCAAAATGTCAGTCCCCATCTCTGGCTCTTAACTCACTGAAGCCACCTCATTATTCAGTGTCTCTAATGAACTCAGAATATTCAAGGGACTCTTGCAAACATTCAGCTCTGGGATCAAACTTATACAGATTGCTGAGAAGGCAGAAGCAGGGGCAAGAAGGGAGAAGCCTATTTCTAAATCCTGTGCTACTGATGCCGGCCAAACTTCTGTTAGTCTTTATGGAAATTTGCTCCTGGAGGGCTTGGCAGACCTCATCCTCAGAAATAATCTTGGTCCCTCTCCAGACTCTGCAGCCTGGAGACAAAATGCCTATGCCACAGGCCCAGGCCTCTCCTGACCCTCAACCCCGACGAGTTTCCAAAATTACCTGGTAAACAGGATCTTCAACGTCCTCTTCCAGAATTGTCTACAGCAGAGTGAGGGAAGGGAGGGTGAAAAGAAGAGGATACAAAGCGAGAGATGTGAGACTGCACTCAGAAATTACAGGACAGTGAAGAAACCAGCTCTGGGTAGGAGAGGCTGGTGGGTCATTAAGGCAGAAAACTGGCAGAGAGAAAAATGAGAACACTTGTAGCCGCCCCACCCCCACTGCTAACAAGAAGCAAATGCAATTGACTTTCCTTAGATCTCCTCCCCTGAAATCTTCCCCAGTTTTAAGATTTCACTTTCTCTCACATGTCTAGAATCTCAGAGAATAGGGATCATTTCTAATGGCATGCTTTCGGTGCCTGTAATTTACACAGGAACCTTTCATCTCTGTTTATTCCTACTTGGCAGCAGGAGGAGAAGCCTTGACTGTCAGTTTTCATATCTGTTTATTTTAAGCCCCTGCTGTCTCCGGTACCAGGATAAATTCACAGGTATACCTGATACACAGCTTGTTCGCACTGCTTATCCTTTTGTGCCTTTTTTTCCAATTCTTCTCTTTGCTTCAATTCATAAATAAGTTGAAAGAGATCTCTCAAGTCCAGAATAACAGGTTCAGCCTGGAGTAAAAGGTAGAAAAGCACATAAATAAGGGGATGGTTACTGAGCTGTAGCGACCAATAATTTTTGTTTTTGCTGGCTACAACTCGCAGCCCTTCCTTTTTCTATTAAACTGAAAGCATTCCATCTTTAATTAATTCTACCTTGTTATATTGGTTTAGCAAATTGCATCTAGGCTAAAGTTCATTTCTTCAACTAATTATATTTGCAAATTCATAATAATCATGAGCATAAAAGGCACTGCTTTTATTTATTAGTAATTTCGAATACAATAAAATTAGGGTAGGCCTTATGCAAAACAGCTATTTGTTTTCTCTTATTTTCTTTTTAAATGAGGCTAGCAACACAAGGAAACTTACTTGTATAGTGTGCCTCCATCCAACTTAATCAGAAAGGAAAATAATGAGTCATTACGAAATACCCATTAGAAAAAGCAACAACAAGACAACTGGATGGGCGCGAGCCTGTTTCTTTGCTCTGAGGCTGTTTATCTTTTCCAGATGGGAAGCTGAGTGTCAGCATCGCTGAGTCACATGTCACAATGGGCCCTCGAAGACCAATGGTGTGACTGTGCTATCCCAGAAAAGGTACAAGAAAAAGCTTCCTCCTTGGAAGGGGGCTACTCACCGCCTGGGCTGTTTTTATGGCCACAAATCTGTGATTCCCTTCCTTCCCACAAACGTATCCGAAGGCCCGGTGATCTGTGATGTCCTTTGCGATGTAGGAAATTTCGTGAACAGCATGATGATGCTGAAGGGCCTGTGAGAGACAAAAAGAAGAGCCTATTTCAGGGGACTTTCCCTCCGAGCTGTTGATCAATAAGAGATGTGTTTCCGCTACGTGTGAACAAGCCCAGAGGGCTTTGGAAAAGCTGCTTGGTCCAGATGGAAGGAAAAAAAGAGCTGTGTCTGCCCTTGAGAAATGGAGGCTTCCTTCCATGGTCTTGATGCTGTGACCAGAGAGATAAACAGGACTGTTCAGATTCAGTGGGCATCTGTGATGGGGGCTCCTTCCTCTGCTTGCCGGGGCCAGTCAGCCTCACTCGGTGGTACAGGCTCCTTCCACGTCTTTCCTCATGACACAGCCCAGTCTACGTTCTGCATTGATATTTACTACACTCACATAACCAGGGCCTCTGCTTGTCCTGCTGAACGGTGTATACTGTACAATGACCAGGGACACCCTTTGCATTCAGAGGACCACAGATGTGCATGGTTAGGACAATTTTCCAACAGGTGGTGGTCATAAGACTGACCTGAGGATCAAACACCCTTTCTGTTTTGTCCCAGGTCACCACACCTCTGAGGGTTTTCATGTGCTGGTCCCCTTGTCTGTAAGACCTGATCTTCTACCCACCTGCATGAATTCTATTCCTCTTGAAAAGCCTATTTGAAATCACACCACCTTGTGAAATCCCCTGAACAAAGCGTGCTCTTCCTTGCCCTGCAGAGGAGATCCCTCCCTCTCCTGTGTTCCCCAGAACGTCAGTCTAGCGATCCTGGAACCCCCAAAGGATTCCTCACATACAGCTCCCTGGGCTCCTGGCTTTCATAGACCTTCCTTCTCTGTTGTATTTTCCTAAATCCTGGTCTTCCCCACCTGACTCTGTCTTCATTTTTGTTAGTACCTAGTGCTGTGCCTGAACCATAGTTGTTGAACTAAGTTGGGATTGCTGATCAGTAATTCAAACATCATTTGAAACTGACCTTCTTGCCCTTGTTAACTAAACTTCAACAAGCAACATCCACCATCCTATTAACTGATGGTGTTCTTTAGGGTCATTTCCCTAGATGAAATGTACCTAAAAGAATCATCATTAAACAGTACTCTGTAAAGGTTTATGTATGTATCTAAGCATTATATGATGTTTCAAGTCCTTAACAAAGGACCTTTTCATTATACTGGGTGCTAAGAAGCTTGAATTCTAGCCACTATATGTGAACACAAGGCACTCACTGTATCTCTCTGGATCTCTCTTTATTCCTCTATTAAAGGATAACTTTGAACCAGATCAATGGCTCCCAACCCAAAGTCCTGGATCTATAGGGGTCATTAAAAATAATGAAAAGAGGTCTCAGGCAATTTTCAACATTTCAAAAAGCTAAACAGAAATTTATAATTATTCCTAATAAGATGACTTCTTTTACTGTGCACACAAATAAAAATGCTGAGTTTATTTAGAATTCTGTCTGGTTACTGGTGTACCCCTTAGCTCACCTTGGAGCAGATTCTCTTTGGCAATCAGTGATGGATTCAAATAATCCAAATAGAAAAGTAAATGAGTATAAATGCATTTTACTGAACAAAGTCTCCTATGTTACTGAATCTGTGAAGGGAAGGAGAAATTTAACACAAGGAGAATTTGGTTATGAAAATATTGAGAACCACTGAAGTAGATTTTCTCCCAGGCCTCCTTCCATCTTTCCAGGTCCTTTAACCATCTAGATCTCACATCATACAGCCAGCCTCTCAGAACAGTGGCACCTGCCTCTTATGATGACCATTACTTAGTTCTGGATTGCTGACCCTGACCTTCAAAAATGTTCATTCCCGGCCTGTTGCCATCTTTTCAGGCTTCTGATTTTAGGAATCATTTCGGCAGTAGAATTTGTTGCTGCAGCTTTACCTTCCAGAATCCAGCCATTCACTCACCTCTTTCTTACTCTTAAGATGCTCTCTGTCCAGGTTGGCCAGTGTCAACTAGACATAATGCATGGAGGGTGGTCACCCTAGCCCCTTAAGTGGCCATAAGACAACTTTATAATTTTAGTGGATTTTGACACAAAGTTGGGGAAGAAAGAAGTGTTTTTTAGTAAAATGACCAGGATCCATTTGTTCTTGCCTTATTAAGAGCGCATATTTATCTAGCAGAGAAAAACTGCTCAGAGAGCAGTAGCTTTTCCATGGTGTTAATGATGTAAAATGGATGAGATTTATATTCACGAAACAAGGCAGTATTGATTTAGAGGCTTTTGTGAGCTTGAATGGGATACAGCAGAGAAAAGTGAGAGACAAATTCATCCTCCTCTTTCTTTCCTGCAAGTATTTCTTTCTCTGCATAATACAGTGAATGTTATCCACGTATCCTATTAAATCAAAGTTTGACGACAGCACTTTATTGATTGCCAAGTGGAATATTGCTCTAAAATTAAACTGCGATTAGAAGTCTTCCTGGTGGAATTAGATTCGGAGATGACTGTGCAATGGTAAAATATCACCTACTATGCAAGATAGCAGATGGAGATGTTTTAATTTATCTGTGAATCCTCATTAAGTGTTTTAAAGTCAAAACATTTTTAATGCCTGATGTTACCTAATATTTCCTCACAAAGTGTAGCTGTGTGTGCGCATGAAGGGCTTAAAAATATTGTACATTATCTTTTCCCATAGTTAATTTTATGATGTGTTAAAAAGGATTGCTCTGAAATTGGCTCATTCATTTGGAAACGAAGAGTCAGATAGGGATTATGTCTCCACTTTCTCCAACCTTAACCATGCAAACGTCATAAAGATCCTTGGAAATACAAATATATTAGAATCCTCCTAATCCCACATTATCACATTCATCTTGGCAACTCAGAGGACATTGCAAATACTTGCTCACTGAGCCTCCAAATTGCTCCATGTCTTCAAGTAGGTTTTATCAGCACAAATCAAAGGCAGGTGGAGCCAGAGGAAATGTAAACATCATATAGTTCAACTGTGAGTTTATTCATGAAAGGACTGTGGGCCAGAAGGTGTTCTGGCTGGACCAATACTTAATCCAGGCCCCACTCTCCCCACTCATAATGGAAAAGCATTGAATAAAGGAAACGAGGTTATTTAGAATCAAGGTCTCCTTTCCTTAGACTCTTGACTCCCTAGATCAACAACAAAACCATGATCCCTGATAAGCTAGGATGAGGAAGGGAAACTAAGGAAGGAGGTCAAACTGAGGATGTTCTGGATTCCAGCAGATTACTAAGGTCCGAAAGGGTCACCAATCAGAAGGTCTGGGGTCAAGGCCAGCTATCAGAGTCTTAAGAAAAAGGTCAAGACCACCTGGTCTGGAAGGGCACTCTCAGGGATTTGAGATTGCAGTATCTGCTGAGCAGCCAAGGCCAGAAAGGGGAGGTGAAGTCCTTGTAACAGAAAAAACAAAAGACCATTTTATCCCAAGAGTGTTTCTGTGGGGAGTTTCGAGGCATCATGTGTTGTTCTGAAGATGCAGAGAATCCTGGGCCAGAGGGAGAGGGAGAGAGTGGAAGAAAGGCAGGTTCTGGTTGCCCTTCTTCCACCCTTCCTTCGGAAATGAGTTTTTGTCTTGGAAAAACATAATCTAGGTATTAGTGACTCAGTCATGTCCAACTACTTGCAACCTCATGGACTGTAGCCCGCCAGGCTCCTCTGTCCATGGGATTCTCCAGGCAAGAATACTGGAGTGGGGAGCCATTTTCTTTCTCCAGGGGATCGTCCCAACTCGGGTATCAAACAAGGGTCTCCTGCATTGCGGGCAGATTCTTCACCATCTGAGCCACCAGGGCAGCCCAATCTAGGTATTAAAGCACCACCAAAAAATCAGAGCAGATAATTCGGTTTTAAAAAGAGAGTCTGCCAGAACACCTGGTTTTTCTGCCACTGCTTCATTTACTCCTCCTATTCTGAACCCTCCCACTGTGGATGAAATTGTTGCCACAGAATTCCAAGGCCAATTCCAAGATCAGCCTTGCCAACCCAGTCTGACTTTCCTCCCAGGAGTAAAAATAATCTGAGGGGGTCAACATCCCCCTTTGGGTTCTGGACTTTCCCACCTCTGTGCCATTATGTATGTTGTTTTCTCTGCTGACTGCCTCTTCTTACCCTAAACACGTTTCATCAGCTCTACCTAACTATATTATACCTACGCTTCAAGGCCTAGCTCCAACATCATGTTCATCTAGGGACCTTCCTCAACTCCCCTATTCCCTGTAATAAGAATTCCCAACTCTGGAATTCACTGGGTTGTATTTTTTTCTCTTCTATCTGGGATGCTCCAACTGTCTTAGTTTTGTTACACATTTGTCCATGCATATAGTTATTCACACTGTATAACTGCATTACTAAGTGCCTAATCCATTATAGGTATCATTCTAAGTGCTAGATCTGCCCAAATGATTAAAACATGGTCCCTTCCTCAAGACCCTTACAGTCTCAAACAGGCAGGCAAAGACCCTAACAACCACAATATAATAAGACAAGCTTGATACTAAAGCTGCTGTATAGAAGCAGAGGAGAAATGGGGAGGAGCATCAGGGAAGTCTTGACAAAGGAGCTGACCTTGGACTCAGTCTCCAAGGATAAAGGGGAAATCCTCAGAAAATCAGAGAAAGGGCATTCTAGGCAGAAAGAATGAAGCAGGCAGATGCCTCTAGGTCCTGAAAATAAAACATCTGGAGGACATTTGTGCACATGTTTTCTCTCCACTTTGGGATGTAAATTCTTAAAAGAAAAAATAATAATGCCAGGTTCTCCTCAGCCTTATCCTAGGTCCTAAGACTGTTCCTTTTGAACAACAAGTGCTAAGTAAGGTTTCATGAATTAAAGAAGGAACACAGGGACTTCCCTGGCAGCTCAGTGAATAAGAATCCGCTTGCCAATGCATGGGACATGGGTTCGATTCCTGATCTGGGAAGATCCCACGTGCCTGTGCCCCAGAACTGCCGAGGCAGCACCCTAGGGCCCGTGAGCTGCATCTACTGATGCGTGTGTGCCTACAGCCTGCATTCAGCAACACGAGAGGC